TAACGACGTAGAAAACTAGACCGTATACACTTCGAAATGGTATTAAGAATGCAATATTTCACATTTGTTTAATGGAGAGTTAAGATTTTGTTAAAATGCAAGAGAAAAAGAAAAAAATTAAAATTTATTGTGATTTTGCCATGTTTGATGGAGATTAAAATCAATTTTTTAGTAAATTTTGATAATAGTTAAATAGTTATGGATTCTATTAAATATGTTATTAAAATTCAATAATTCTATTTGTACAGAATTATTGGCCACAGAAATTGGCCAGAAATCTCACACGGGGTGTGCAAAAAAAAATAAACAACCCCCCGTCCCCCCGCTATGAGTGTCTGGCCATTTTCTGGCCACTCTGTTTCTATACAAGAAGCAGAGCTCATTAAAATTAAGGGAAAATTACAGTCACGATACCAAACCTTTCACTTTTTTGAAGACTTTGCCAAAACCTTTGATTTGTGCCACACACGGTACCAAACATTTTAAAAATATGCACCTGAGGTCCGAATGGATGGTTTCCGTCCAGTTGACCAAAAAAGTCAAAATTGACCAAATTCATTAAGGATAAAATGGTAAGTTTACATTTTTTTCATATAAAATAATTATAATAATTAGAAAAAAAAGTACAAAAGAGTTGTCTTCTTCCTCAAACCATCCAAAACCGCTTCAACCACCACCAGCCGGCGTCGGCGCCGCCTCTTCCTCCTCAACCCCATCTTCTTCATCCCCAGCTCGAGCGATCCCTCTTCCTCTTCCCCCGACTTTCGCTCCGACTTCCACCCAGATTCAAGAATGTTCCGGCCTCCATCGCCTCTTCCTCCCACCACCACGACCGCCGTCGCCTCCTCCCCCACCACAACCTCAGCAAACTCGTGAATCACCAACAGCAAGCTAGAGTTCACAAACTCGTGAACCCACACCCCACAGCATCTACCATCTCTATAAATTCTCTGTAGATTTGGATTTGGGTTCACGGGTCTGAGGGGAATTCGAGGAAGACATTGTAGATACTGTGGGGTGTGGGTTCACGGGTTTGTGTCGACACAGAGGTGGTAGAGGTGCTAGCGATGTGCCAGAACTGTTGTTGGCCGGAGAAGAGAAATCGAGGTTGGGAGGTGTGGGGTGGCTAGCCTTTTTATTTCTTTATAATTATTTTATATGAAAAAATGTAAACTTACCATTTTGTCCTTAATGAATTTGGTCGATTTTGACTTTTTTGGTCAACTAACGGTCAACTAAATGGAAACCATCCATTCGGACATCTGATGCATATTTTTGAAAGATTTGGTACCGTGGGTGGCACAAATCAAAGGTTCAGGCAAGTCTGCAAAAAAGTGAAAGGATTGGTATCGTGACTGAAATTTTCCCTAAAATTAATTGTTAACTTTGATTTAGATTAAAATTTATATTTCAATCAATACCAAACATGAATTTATATTTTTAATAAAAAACAAAAAAAAATTAAAAGTTGGAGGGGACCACGTGCCCCCCAGGACCCCCTTGGCAATAATAGCAACAACACCCTGGCGTATTGCCTGTTATATAATAAAACTATATTAGTGGGTATTTGTTGGAGATTAAAATTATATTTTTATTAAATTGTGATAAAAGTTTTTGAAATGCGCTGTTGAAAAACTGTGGACCCATGAAAGATATGATTAATATTGATTGTTTGACTTTAACTTAAATTAAAATCTGATTTTAATCCGAAACAAACTGTTGGAGATGTTATACCGAAAATGTGCATATTATATTAATCAAGAACATACCGTGAAATGAAAATATCATTTGATTTACCGAAAT